TTAAAGTGTACTCGCGTGCCTTGTTTTATGAATCCCTAATCCACCCTTCACTCCAAGAATAATTTACATATCAAAGGAAAAATAAGCGACAGTGCTAATTGATCAAATTATCAAAAAATGATTGTCCCATTAAGCACATACATACAAAGAATGGATGTGGATTTCTTTTATTCTTCATTTTTTTAGAAGAACTGAAAAAAAAATACCATTTTCTCAGTGCTTTAATCTCTTCTCTATGCCCTCTGTGCATCTTTAAGGACTTGGTATCTTGCATATTTTACACCCCAAGCTATTTCTTACTCCACAGGATAACTTATGGCCGCTTGCATCTCTGTATTTACAGGTCTTCTTCATGTAAAGTGTATGTTGCTGTTCCACCTCCACCTCAGTTGCTGAGCGAAGTCCAAAGTTCTGGGAATGAGTCAATTGTGAAAGAACGGACTGCTTCCAGTTTCACTTCTTCAGTTGGTGCAACTGATGATGCTTCTCATGGAGCAGAATTGCAATCTATGGGGTTGTCAAATCCAGGAATGCCTCAGGCTAGCACTGTTTGCCATCCTCGTTCTTTGTTGATTGGTGGAACAAGCTATATTGGTTATGAAGAGATATATCCCCAAGCTACGCCTTTGCAACAAGTTGCCTTAGCCCTTAGACAGTCAACTTCTCCTGTTACTGCTACAGTTGGTCCTGCAACATCTGCAAATGCAAAATTACCTACAAAGGTGGGCCCCTCTGAGGAGAAGCGCCTCCCTCGGAGACGGAAGTTTCAGGAATTATCCATTGCTGCAAAAGGGCCAGCAAATTCCCACCAGGTATCTGTGATTACCGTGTTTTAGACTAGACATAGTTTTCATTTCTTTGGGGACTGGGGGGGTGAAGATTTTACCTTGCCTTCATATGACTAGCAATAGGTGTTTTATTTCAAACAGTTGTATTAATCATATATTTACCTAGCAACAAAAATTGGAACAATATTATGATGTTTATACCTGATGAATAGCATTGGGTTTGAACTTCTTCAAGGTTCTGATTAGAGGAACCTAACTAGAATTATTTTATTGGTCTACTTTTCTTTTGAATCGTCTGCTGTAGGAACTCACAAGGTAGTTAAACACAAACCTGATCGGCCCCAATGGCACATTAATATTTCCATTTGAGTTAATTAAAGTAGGGGGAGGTGTAGTTTTGGAAGTTTATGTAATTTGGAGAGTAGTATGGGAGAGAGTCGAGCCTCTCAAATGCTCGACTACGCTTTGTAATTTCTTTGCAATTCAATTCAGTACAACATTCAGTCTCAGTAAATAGAAATACAAATTCATTTACTGTTCTTATTCCCTGTTTCCATATTAAAATCTGCAAAACCAGTCGGAAGCTTAATAAAATCATGGACTATTCTAAACCTTTGAGATAGTTAACTTTGAGTAACTAACTATAGCGTGTAGGAATTGTTTGAGGGCATGCCATGCAATTCTTATGTGGTTTGAAGTTGGCCAATTAGGGGATTAACTAACTGAAATTTGAAATAAACAAAAAGAGTATAGCTTGTTAGTTTAGCTCTCCAAGCTGTTTTTATTTAATCCCTGGTGAAAGTTGATAGCGTACGGCTAGAAGTTGCATTTTCATTTGGTTGAAGGCACAATTGTGATCTAAAACGCTATGTGTGAAGCATTTTTAGGGTTCCCCTTGGGGAGGGAGTGGATTGGTTTGCCCTCCCCTTTTTCTTTCATTTTAAATTTGTGAATATGCCATAATTGATGTATCCTTTCAAATATATTCGAACAAGCCTTCTGTTTAATTATCTGATACTCCAGTGTTATGCCCCTCTGCCCTCTGCAGCAAAAGAGGTATTTGTTTCTCCGTTATCCTGTGTAATAGATATTCTAAGTTTCTGTCATGGTAAATGCATTACGTTATCTCTAATAGACTTAGAGGAGAACTGGTAGCTGAGGATTTAGTTTCATAATAAGAATGAACTGCCTACGTGACTATGAAGTTGTTTAGGGAAGCCACTGCTGTCAAGTGTCATGCAGGCAGCCAAAGCTAACACTGATAATCTTGTCTTGGTTTCAATAAATATGTTTTGGGACTATATAGTTAACAAACAGCAGCTAACTTTCAGTTAGACGGCATGATTTCATGGTTTTAGTGATTAATTTGAAGATAGTAGATAAAGGCTGCTGCTTGGTGTATTGTTTTGCATTTTTTATCAGTCCCTTGCATTGTATCTTGAGGATTTTTAGTGATATATAATTTGTTATTTTATTGTTGGTACTGGTTGATCCACACTACTATATTATTGTTTGCTCCACTCATGCCTTGAACGGATAATAGGTTATGTTAATTGTTATTTCTCTTAATTTTGCAAGTCAATGTACGCACATGATTTCTGCACTAGGTGTGTATTTAATAACTCGTACGGAATCCTTTAAACTTATTCTATCTAAATTAAGATTTAGTCACACTATTATTAATAACTGAACGAACTGTTATTTCAGTCCTGATGTTTAGTACTTCTTATTCCAGGTATTTTCTCTGACCTTGTATGAAGCTTACAGGCTGATATCCACAGGGTTCTCTGACTTGGAAGTGCGTGGGATGGCTGCATGCTGTTCCACTGCTTTTCTTTCATGCCGAATCAGGATTTTGTGATCTTTATTTTTAGCTGATCTGTGATGTGTCTGCATAAAATTCGCTTAAGCACCTGTTTCTGCTTTAGTTGTTTCCAACTGCCAATCGTACTGTTAAAAGTCACATCTTTCTAGGTTTCAATTCTTCCACCTACTGCTACCTTTTCTTCCGATTGTCTTTGGGATACTAGAAGTTATATGCGAGCCACGAATAACAGATTATATAACACTAACACACTTTGAATGGTCCATCTTGTCTATAGAGTCAAGGGGAACATAGTCTAAAGTTCTATTTATAATTGCAATTTCTGTACCATATCGTAGGTAGTCTGAGTACCTTCACCCCACATGTATGTACTTTTGCTTATATTTCAGATGCAGAACTGATGAAGACTAGCAAGGTTTTATAAAGTTATTCTTTTCCCAGACATTATGGCACCATATTGTATTCTAACTTTAAGGGATATTGTTAAACGTTTCCCAGAATAAATTACAGGGATCAGAATTTCAAATGCCACGTGAACTAACATCACATGTAGGTGCAAAAGACTTGTCCTTTATGCCTGCTCCAAGGAAGTTGATCCGGCCATCCCCTGGTGTAATTCCACCAACCCCTCCCAAGAATGTGCCACCACCACCTCCTCCCAAGAGAATGCCTCCACCCCCTCTCAAGAGCATGCCTCCACCTCCGCCTCCGCCGAAGTTCAACTCAACTCCTAAAATTCATGAGACCAAGAGCAATCTGCACAACTCAAAACCCGAACCCGTCCCTGGTACTTCCACTTTTGCCTCTATATTATTGTTCCTATAAGAAATTTTTTTGACGTGGCTTCTTGAGCATATGCTGGGACTGTTCCAACATATGAAACATTTCTTGTCCCATGCTTTTCTATCTACTAGCGGCGGACGAAATCTGTGGTGCCTTTATCTGTTTATTTAATTTACTTCTCATTTGTGTTTGTTGGTGTAGATACTTTAATCAAGCTTATGGAATATGGAGATGATGATGACGACGACGACGACGATCTCGAGGAAACCATCGGGGAGCCCTCTAAAAGCCTTTCAAGTGCACCTAAACCTTTCTGGGCTTCCTGAAATATGTTCGTCCTTTCGCCAAGCACTAGCACTGACTCGCATGAGACCTTTGTAAAAGTATATTTTCTTCGTCTTGAGCTTTGACAGCTGAATAAAAAGGATAAATTAGCCGTTGCTGATATTATATTTACAACTACTTGCTCTCCTTCAATTGAGGTAGTTAATTTTGACCCCTTGTGGCTTTTGGCTGCTGCAAGGACAGGTAGGATATGCTACATTTTGTACATATACAATGCAACGAAAGGAGATGTATATCCAACACGACGCGTGCTGGACATGTCAACACGTAATTTTTTGATTACGTATTAATGCAACATGTCGTCGACAAGTTGATTAAATTTTTTAAAATAATTAACAATAGAAAACCCCTAGAAACGTTTATATTTGTGATATACCCCATATCTATTGAAAATTGTAGAAAATCTCATATTTGAAACCTTTTGTGCAAAAAACTTACTGTCATGAACATCAGTCAGATTTTTCGTTAAAAATAGTACAAAATGCTAAAATTAAAAATAAATAATTGCAATTTTAGTATTCAAATTGTTAATTTTTTTACAAATTAAATCCAAATGTTTTGTGTGTTATCAACCATTCCAAATTTTTAGAACTTTATTTTTCACCCTACTCCATCTTATCCCCACTTCATCTTCTTCCCTTTTTTTTTCCATACAAAAGACCAATTAAATTAATATAATTTGAATTCACGTCACCCTTATTTTGAACCAGGTTCCAGCACATTTCTGGCGAGCAGCCCCCAAATCACCTTTACAATTACAACTCAATTCAATTAAAATCTAGGGATGGCAAAAAAATGTGTTCAACCCGATACCCATGGAGTCCTGCCTCGAATATGGCTGAGATTACCAACCTAATCGGGTAAACAGGGTGAGGACATGACGATGGTCATTACCTCGAAGCGGGTATGGGGCGGGTATGAGAAACATAGTCTCTGTCCCGTTACTCACCCGTTTAAAGTTAATTTCAAATTTATATTTTTTTATCAAATAAAAATAATAATTTATCATCATTTTTAAAGAGTATAATTTTTTTTTTTAACAAATTAGTAGAAAAATAATAATATTTACTAACTAAAGACATAAAAAATAAAATAAATAAATAAAATAAATAAAAAAGAAAAAGAAAAAAAATAAATGGGGGACAGTTGACTGCCCTTCCCCACCCCGAGCCCGTCTCGTCCTGCTTTAACTGGGTATGAGGGTGATGCAATGTAACAAAAACACCCGACAGGACGGGGGCGAGAATGACCGATCCGTCTCATATTCGCTTCATTGCCATTCCTATCAAAATGCCATTGAATTCTTTATCTCCTCGACTTGGATCACAATTTACATTTTCTTGTGAACTCAATTTACAAATTCTAGAGTCTCGAATCACTCTTCTTTCTTCTAAATTGTTCTGTATTGTCTGTTCCAACTCACCAGATTCTAGGTCAATCTCTTCTGAGTCTGAATTCACCGGACAGTTGAATTTCTGACGAACGACCTTGGCCCGTTTAGAGATGCTATATTTTTTGGGCCATCCATCAGCTGCGGCGGTGGAGGCAGAAGACTGCCATGTGTAGTTATCATCTGAGTCGATGTCTGAAAAGCGAAAGCCACTTTTGTCTGTGGTTGTCTCGCTACTGCATGCCATATAGGGTCTCCTCCTACAACGTCTCTAACGACAAATATCAGTACCATCACTACCAACACAAAAATTTGCATCTACATTCATGGGGGTAGTCAGTCGACATTATAACCCAAAATCACAGTCTTTAGAACAAAGAGAAAAGGGAAAGTTTTATTCATCGAGATTCATCATAGAAAATGTGGGTTAAAAGACTAAAGTTGGGAAGAAAACGAAATAGGGTGGGGCGGAAAATAAAGTTTTAAAGGTTTGAGATTATGGGTGGTACATAAAATTTTTTTTAGGTATAATTTGTAAAATGATAAAAAGTTTAGATACTAAAATTGCAATTATTACTTTTTAATTTCAACATTTTTATTGTTTTTAACGGAAAATTTGACGGCATGGGGGATTTTTCGTACAAAATGTTTCAAATATGAGGTTTTCTATAATTTCAAATAGGTAGGGAATATATCGCACATAGAAATGTTTCTAAGGGATTTTCTGCTATTAATCCTTTTTTAAAATTCTTCATTTTTATATTTGTTATTAATTTTTTTTTTCTTATTGAAATATTTTAAATATGAGTACTCACCCAATTGTTGCTTAATAATAATTTTGAGTTAAAAATATATAGTTTTTCTAATAATGAAAGAAAAATGATAATAGATACGTGTTCGACACTTGTCAAATATGGACACATCACCCTAATTGAAATGTTCGTGCAACAGAGTTATATGATCATGAGTTTCTTGATCTGTCGTTCAGCAATTAACTGATGGTTTGACTTGTGAATTTCATGCGCTGCCTTGCTCCTAAGTGATATTCCAGCACATCAAACTTAACGAAACATAAGAAGGATTTACGTAGATGGTCCCAAACTCACTGGACAAAAAAAAAAAGCTTCAGTTTTTTAGACTCTCTAGTGTGTATAATCTTCAATTACTGCAGCTCTTAGTATTTCTTTGCTCACAATTTTTTAATTAAATTTTTTTCTTTTTATTCACTATAGCCTTGAGAGCTAAACCATAATATTTTGCACATTTGATTTTTTCTTTCCAGTTTTTTGTGTTGAAATACTCGTAATGTTATTCTGATTATGCATTGCCCAGTTATTTTTTTTCCCTCTCGCTACAAGGGTCAATCTTAAATGCTAAAGGCGGTCGTCTTAATTGCGCGTTCATCAAGGGAGATAATTTCCTATAGATACATAGACCGATGCCAAAGAAATGAAAATAGTCTCCCCTTCTTTTCTCTGTTCGATACAATAATGAAGCATCGGCTAAGCACATTTCTTCGGTTTATAGGATCTGAAATGAGACAGGTCAAACAAATTTCAGTTTTCTTCCCATCTCCTACTCAGGCACGAGGCCAGCGGAATGTATCCACTACCAAAGCTTTTCCAAGTTCGAGAGCACAAAAACCGAAGGCATACTGCATATATGTTTCTTTTTTCACCCTCTAAATCCCACCTTTTTCTCTTCTAATAAAAAGATGAACATGCAATGTAATACATTTATTATCTGGTTAGAACCGAGTGGGGAAATAACCCGGTCACATCAAGAAGGCAAAACTGAAAGCAAAAAGGGTATTAAATTTTGTTCACTTCTAGAGGATGCACCTATAATCCTACTGTTTTCAGGGAACATTTGAAAGGATTCAGCGCCTGGTGTTGGCATAATCATTCGGCTCATCATTGTCATCCCTGTCATTTGCATCCAGATCAACAGCAAAATTGTTAATTCCAGCTCCAGTTCCACTTTGATTTCCACCTTTTTCTTGATCTTCGCTGTATGTCCCGGGTGTACCACCATAGCCGGGAGAGGAAAAGCTACTTTCACTGCCATAGCCGCCACCTCCGCTGGGGTAATTGTTACTGCCACCAAATCCCCCATCTCCACCGGGATAGCTTCTGTTACCACCAAATCCACTTTCTCCTCCGCTGGGGTAATTGTTAGCCCCATATCCACCCCCTCCACCAAAGTTTACATCTGCTCTTGGGTAATCGCCACCATCACCACCTCCAAAATTGCCACCTTGATATCCTCCAGAGCCTCCATAATTCCCACCGTAGTTAAATCCACTGCCTGAACCAAATCCACCCCCAAAACCGCCACCCCGAGTTCTTTCTGTTGCATAATTCACCTTTACTCTTCGCCCTTGAAGTTCCTGAGAACACATGCAAAATTAGATGTTACAAGTCAGAAAAACCAATTTACCAATCTAATTAATTTCAACTCATGCAATAGGAAGCAACTTCAAGTCTACTGGTCTCAGAGAAAGTTTCTTAAACATTCTTGCTTTGGTTTCAGAACTCAATAGTAAAACCCCATTTAGTTATGTTTGGTCAGATTACTGGAAAAGATACCTTCAAGGCAAAAGAAGAGCTTCCCAATTTTTGTACATTAATTTCACTCCAAATTATTAATTTCTAATTGAGTAGATCCTTTAGAAAACTCTCGTTATTCAATATTTGGAATATTCTCTTGTATTTTTACCCTTCATACGATTATATCATCAAGATGTTGGACTATACCAGTCTAGGGCACTAGACACCTGAGAACTATTTGCATGATTTGCTCATTCACAAATATTTCCTACAGGACACATCGACTCTCTGGAGATGACACTGACCCTTTTATAAGAGTAATCTTGAATAGCACCTCCTTTTGTTTAGTAGAGATAACATGTATATTAAAATCCATCAAAAGGGATTTTCCACTTCTGCTGAATGTCAAAATAGCATTTTGCTAATAAGAATGAGCTTATGCAATAGTGGGCATGCATCCTTATTCAGCTATCGTACAATGTACAAATATTGCACTAACATTTCTATACAGCAGTGAGAATATGTGCAAGTACCTGGCCATCAAGTTCCTGGATGGCACTGGAAGCTTCGTCAGTTGATGTGTAGGTCACAAAGCCAAATCCTCGGGACCTACCGGTCTCACGATCCATGATTATTCTAGCTGCAACAATTAAATTGTATATTGAAGGAGGTTTAATTGATCAAAACTTCACCATCAATGACAACTGCAGAATAACCTTGTTTACAGGATGGTATTGATATTAATCTTGCAATTTTTTTGTTAATTACAGCAAGAAGTATTTCCCATTTACACAACCTCCCCCAGAGCAACAGATGATGAAAAAGTCAAGCTTGTCATTTCCAAAAGTCTTTCATGAAATTGCTATTTATGATCATTCAAACACTATGAAACCAATATAACGTTCGATATATAGCAGACTTGATACAACATTTAGAAATGACCAGTAAAAATCAAGTAATTTGGCGTATCTACATAACACAGATAAAGCTAAGTGTTACCAAGATACCATCTAGGGTATCCATCCGCAGCATCGAAGAAAATCAAAAGACAAAGCAATTAAAATCCATATAAAATTCAAATTTTAGTCAATTGTACAGATGCAGCAGGTACCTTCTACCACTTCTCCACATTGGGAGAATGCCTCCCTCAAACTCATTTCATCCATATTATATGAGAGACCTGCAACAGAAAACAAGAATAATGAAAAGAAGCAAAATTAAGCAGTTGATATGCATAAAAGGCAGAAAAGCTTGCACCTCCAACAAAGAGCTTCGACGATGACATGCTTCTTATTGCCTGGAATAGTGATGGATTGGAGGCCGAAGCTTCCAACTGAGCATGCTTGCTCAAAGCATTTTTTAGCACATTGCCAATTCTGTTGACAAAAGCCATTGTACTACCTGCAAAATAACAAAAAAGAAGCTCGAGTTAATTGCAATCATTCAACAAAAAGAAGACAATACTGCAACGAAAATCATCTCTAGTAAAGTTCCTCTCAAAATACATTATCAATCTCCCATACATCACTATCAATGAAATTATTACATCGTAAAAATATTCAAAGCAAAAATCAGTTCTGTTCTTCATTTATTCACAATGGGGGAAAATGAATGTACACTCAAATGAAGAGTGCAAAGCTTAAGACCACCGCAATTTGCCAAATTTTCTTATAAAAATTAAATTTATTCAAAAACCCAAATTTTATCCAAGTTCAAAGCTCAATTCCATTTCTTCTCTACCCCTTAAAAATCCAAAGACAAAATAACTGTTAAAAGAGTACAAAAATTAAGTAAAACACAAAATACCTCTAAGCCTCAAATTTATTTGAAATATGCGAACCCTTACCAAAAAATGCCCATAAAACCTTGCTGTCTCACGTTACAATGTCCAGTTCTTTTCCATTGATTCCCTATTGCCACTCTATTCTCCACCCACACCACTTTAAAAATAAAAAAAAATAAAAAACCTATCCCTTACACTGAAGGGCTCACACATACAGATTCAACTTCGAATAATAGTTTCACATTTAACCATAAACCCTAGTTACGAAGTCAAACACTCATACATACTGGAATAAAACTCTATAGAATTAGATCTTGATTGATTATTAATAAATCAAAAACACGATATTTAGGGCAACGGATTTAGAGGCTTTGCAAAAAACAAAAAAGAACTACGAATCGCACCTTCTAAAGGAAAGATAGAGTCTCCACGCTCTCTCTCGCTGCTGTCACTGAGATTTTTGCACTACTGAATTCAGGTTTTTAGAGGTGTATATATTTGTCTGCGGAAACGAATGCTGACCGTCGGATTGGAATGAAATGGGCATGCACCGTGGATTTGCATAGTGTGGTGATTTGCACTAAAGATTTTACTCCCCAAACTTCTTAAAGCATTTCATCAATCACTAAACTTTGTTATTGATAACCCAAGAATAATTAATTAAGATGGGGTGAATTGATTTTTGAAACTTTTTTGATAATTTATCTCAAACTTATTTAATACACAAGATATAAATGTAAAGTGTAATATGAGAAGTAAATATGCAAATTTGATAACTTAATTCAAGTGAATATAACACAATATAAATAACAATTTAAAGTGAAGTGCAATAGTGTAAAGTTAACAAGCAAATTTAATGGGGTTCGATACACAATGTGTTCTACGTCCCCGTTACCAAGCTCTCCGTCACGAGCA